AAAGACCTAGTGTTTTACAGCTAGCGCTTAAATATAAATATTACGGATAATTATTTATGAATAATATGTCCAATTTATACGTGGTAGAGCCATGCTACAGCTATATCAATAGTACACTTTTAGCACGAATGGGTTGACCCGACCGGGAAAGAACCACGCTCTCACAGAGTACCATCGTAAAATAGTAGCTCAATGCTGCTGTGTTTCGTATGGTGAGTGTAGAAAATCGGAGACACTTTTTACGGGAAACGAGGCATTCCAGCTTAGTCCTCACAGCTTACAACGCATCTGCCCTTTATTCGCTAACGAGGATAGATGTAGATGTCTATGGGCCACAGCAACCACTTATCACCAGGTGGACTGTGTGCTCGCTTGTCATCCTTATCCTAAAAAAAATCTATCTTAGAAATGTAATATCGACAGAAAATCTGAAGTCATACATATTATCATTCATTGACGACAAAGTTGTTTTATTTTTATTGTCTGTATATCATGAATCAGTTGCTGCTGATAGAACTATGTTCTAATTTATAATTTACGACAGGCCACGGAGAAAGTTTTATTGTCATGACACACTGGCCTGTTTAGATACAATTATTTACAAGTCGAAGTATAAATTGTCCAATTTCAAATATCTTTTGACTACATACTTTTTACGAGTTAAAATTTAAATCGTGTTTTATTGAAAAATGGACTGCGGCGGGAACATTTACGCGCGATAACATTTTACGATTTCAAATATCGCCTAAAACCAAACGATTTGTTTGTAGACTTCCAAGTGACACTTATGGGTATGGGCCCTTCCAAAGCAACCGTGGACCTATAACAAATTTCAACACGGTCGATTAAATTAGAGAGATGGAGAAAGAAGTAGTCGATCGCCCTTTGACGGCTATGACAGAAGGTGATATGTTTGCAGACAAAAAAATTGATTGAACCTAATAGGGAAATTACGTATGAAGAAATTCACCACATACATATTGTAGATTGGCTCGGGAAGCGTCCACGAGATAATACACGAGCACCTTCGCGTGAGGAGAAAGATAGCTTCGCGTTAGGTGTCGCACAATCTCACCAATGCTCATTAGCTGGCCCGAGTGGAATGGTACCGTGACATTATTACTAAATTTAAAGCAGGCTCGTCTCGGCGTGTTTACGACATGATTATAGGTTATGCCGTGAGCCGTGGTAACTCATGATGTTTTAGCTATTTCAAAATGTACCAACGCTTAACAAAGGGAAGCGATCGAGAGTCGCAAAGAAAATTTTAATAGCTAGTTGTTTCACTTTGACGTAGTATCTGATGTCAATTCCTTTACGAAATCGAAGAAGTATCAACACCGAATGATATACTACCAAATACTTCCTGAGTTCACTGCCGTGAGCAACAAGCGACGAGGCTTAGCGTGCTAATGTTTCACTATAACAACGCGCCCACGCAATTATCGCTCAAAACGAGGGACTTGGACACCACACCAGTTCAGCTTTTGGGTCGCACTCTTTACAGCCCTAAATTGGCACTTTTGATGCGACTTAATTTAAAACATGTGCTAGCAACGTTCGAGCAGGCTGTATGAACTAGGGATGCCCGATCTGAATCGATTTTCTGGAAGATCGATTCACGGCCATACGATCTGCCGATTTTTGAATCGATTCAAGGGAATGCGATTTTCACTTAGATCGATTCGTATGTCTATAAGATCGTATGAAAAAAAAATCGTATCAACTAAAACCAAAGATCAACCAAACAGTAACGTCCTGACGTATGAACTGATCTTTGCATACATGATCGTATTGCCGGGGAGGGGACAGAATAACTAAAACAAAGTTCTTACTTTGTTTTAGTTACTGTCTTACCTAGTACCTACACATGAAATGAGAGTAGATTCGAGTTACATCTAAAACGGTAGTGTATGAAATATGAAGGTAGGTATGATAATATTTTGTTTATTTTATTATCGGGTACCTATGTTAGTGTTATAAGATCTTTCATTCTTTATATTATTGCGAGACGAAAAGTTGAACAGTCTGTGAGCGTAAACTATTACTTTAAAATCCTTTTTAATATGGCCACGCTAACGAAATCAAACGCTTGGGCTTTCTTTTAATTAAATGTGACATGGGTGGACAATGTAAAATGTGTAAACAGATGGTTAAAAATAGTAGAAATACTACCAATTTAAAAAGTCATTTCAAGAGCCGTCGCATAGGCACTTATTCTGAGCTAAGCAAAAGTAAAGAACGTTCAACTACAGTAATTGCCGAAATTGTAAGAACTATCTTCTATACAAATAAATAAAATTGAAGTGTCTGTTTGTAATGTCAAAATAACAGCTTTTTACTGAATACATATCAAAGTTAATACGGTACTAATAACGAAAAAAAAATTTTAAAAAATCTGTCAGTCTGTCGATTCGTCTGTGTGTCTGTTTCTTCCGGCTAATCTCAGAAACGGTTGGGATGATTTTGACGGGAATTTCACTGGCAGATAACCCATGTTACAGGGAATAACTTACGCTGCTTTTATTTAAAAAAAAATTAAATGTATGTGTAATTAGATAGCTGGAATTCATAATGTAAAACCTGTTTTATACTTTGCAAAAATAATTATTTGGAAAAACTCGCTGAATACCGTAATAGGCATTGTTAAAATAAATAATTATGCATGCATACTGTACTTTTCTTTCTTTCTATAAAATTACGATACGATTTTCCGAGATCGAATAAGATCGATTCAATACAATACGATTAAATCGTGAATCGATTCACGAGGTTACGATCTATTACGATTCAGAAGATCGATTCCAAACAAAAAATCGGGCATCCCTAGCATGAACACTGGAAAAAGTGTTCAAAAATTTTCTGATGTTTCTTTGAAAACAAATAATAAAAACTTGTAGGTATAACTTTTTTAGTTTCGCAAAACTTACTGAGTGGCCCACGTTATGCACTATATTGTAAAATTTCGGGAGCCACGTATAAGTAGTTATAAACCCATATAAATAACATATTTATATTTTATATGCAGCGCTTATTAATCGTGCTTAATAAAGGAGAAGGTTCTAATCCGATCTTTACCTATTTCTCGGAAACGGCTAAACCGACTAAAATGACTCTTTTTTAATAAATAGATGCTTGAGGAGTCCCATATAAATCTAAACAAAACATGTCATCCCTAGAGGTGGAAAAGTAGGGGTATGAACATTTTATTGTACCTATTTAAACAAAATTCTAGTTGTTACCTTGACCACTCTAAAGGTTAAAATAATTAAACATTTAATAAAATGTAAAAACGTTTTCAAAAAAATACTAAAAAAGAAATCCACATATTTAATAGCTTCTGCAGTCTTCGATATAGATATAGTCATTATCTGAAATTCTTCAATACGCTAAGTCTCTGCACCAACTTCAGAAGCTATTAAGTTCAAACTACTTTATTTTATTTTTTAGTTTATGAAGTCCGTTTGTAATTTATATTAAAAGTTTAGTTATTTAAAATTATATTTTTATGACTTTAAATTGTTGATAACAGATCACATGATAGTAAGGAACTACTGCAACCTTAGAACAGCTACACATAGGTCAAAAAAGAAGATCACAGATGCTTGTGACTCCAGATGCCTAAGGTGAAATACTTCATAAAAGTACAATGCCTTATAATAACTGTAATTATAATGGCTCTTCTTTATACCCCTCAGACCGGAACACCGGTAGATAATAGGGCGGTATCTAGCCAAACGGCTCCCGCATCTTGTCACTGATCTTGTACTATTAAATACTCTATGCCTATAAACAAAATAGGTGTAACATCACATTAGAGTGTATTTATAGTGTAGCGTGTCACCAACAATAAGCTACTGCTTGACTGCAACCTCGCCTCATAGTGAATACTGATAATAGGATAGTCGAAATAGTATAGTAATTCTAAATAAAATAAAGCTAGGACAACGCGGTAGCGCGATGGTTAAGATTTTTTGCTGTGGCGTAGCTATCGAAACCTGCCTGCCAATCATTGTTCTGGTTCTAGATATTTGACCTTAAGTGGGGATAAAAGCTTACAATAAAAACAATAGAACTATGTACTGAAATGATATTTTCAAAATATTACATACTAGTACATACTAGTATGTAATATTTTGTGTACAAACTAGTACTAGTACATACTAGTGGTAATTCATAAAAATTTTAGGTTTGTATATTGTACATTTATATTGCACGTTTATATCACAATTCTTTTTATTAAAAAAATCCCATCTTATTCACTCTATCTATCAGTAATTATTTGTTGACAACATTTTAAAATTCTTTGGCGACAATCTCTAATTTGTGTGTGTGTTTGACTACAGTCTATTAAGTGTTTGACGTTAGAGTAATAACATAACATAAATAATATAATTGTACTTATTCTGACACACTGGCGGTATGAACGTAAACAATATATGTTTTATTTTATTTAATGTATCGTATTTGTCACCTATATTATATATAAATATTAGATTTTTGCACTCCTCCATTTTTAAACTTGTACTCTTCGGACTACTGTACAATTTGCCGAAGGGTATGTATGTGGTCTATGGTGCTAAAGCCTTTTCGGAAACCGGCTTGTTCAGGAGGCTAGAAGTCGTCAAGTATGCGCGCGAGACGATTCGTAATGACTCTCGAAAACGGCACGTCGACGCAGCTCAGAAGGGAAATCGGTCTGTAGTTCTTCAAGAGAGCGTTGTCACCTTTCTTGAAGAACAAGACCACCGCACTTCTGCTCCACGCCTCCGGTGTAATGCCACCATGACGGACGGAATTAAAGAGCTTCTGAAGGACTTCAAGTACCGGTTTTCCACCCGCTTTCAGAAGCTCCGCTGTAATTCCATCCTCGCCTGGGGCCTTGCCGTTTTTAAGGTGCTGGAGAGCCATTCTAATATCGCTCAGACTGACGTCCGGGATATCTTCGGAATAGTGTCGGATAAGACTCTTATCCTAATGTATATTTATTTCCATTACAGGGCTGGCGCTGCTGATTGCAGGCGGCGTGCAGATGTCGAATGCGAGCGCTTCACCACAGGGCTCAGACGATGGACTCGGCGCTCTTATTGCCGGCGGGGTCATATTGTGCTTGGGCCTACTGCTTGCCGGTGAGTACATTTTACTAGAAACCACTAACTTTTCTTCGCCGTGTAATGGCGACGTAAAATAACACCCATAACCCCATAACATCCCGTGGGTGTCGTGGGAGGCGACGGGAGATGGGGAGCAACAACATAATGAGTATAAGTTAAAATAATAAAACAAACTGCGGTTACCAACTCGCCTGTCAATCATGTCAACTATGCCAAATATTTGCCCATATGAGGAAATCAAAAAGCCTATGTCCAGTTTAATTTTGATAGGCTGTTAATGAAATGTTAAAAATATAATGATTACCGTTTAAGAGGCAGAATCTGTGGAAGGTAATATGTTAATAATAACATTTTTTTCGTCGCAGTGAATCACAGACAAAGCGTTAAAAATATGACCTATTTCCACTGCCAGTAGAGGCGTTTTCATGAATAGGAAAGCTGGAAAACCATTATTTGGAAGGTTTGCCAACACTCACCTCGCTGGACAGGTGTGTTAATTGAGAGCAGGGCCTATATCATTGTTACATGTTACCTTTTTTACATGTTATAATGCTGTTCCCATCACCATTCTGTGAAGTTTCGATTCAGCTTTTTTTGATGAGAGACATGATCAGTGTCAATTAATCATCAGAATACACCGCGTGCTCGTAAGGTTTGCTCTTGTAAAAAAATGTGACATGATTCCTTTAGATTCAGCTCAGGTATAGCAAAACTTGAGCATGTTCGGAGTACTGGTAATTAATTATCGTCGATTGTCTAATTCAAATAGAGTTGTAATTGGGCAGGACGCTATATTGCTCTAATGGAAAAGTAAATTACTTCTTACATACTAAGGCAGTTCTCCACCTTGTCTTACTCGTATCTGACCCTAACACCCATACACTTGATACGAATGAAATTATTGTTCTGTTCTAAGTGCTCTAAGGATATTAGTTTTCTGTTTCTACTGAGTGTATAAAAACGTCGCGTCGTCGCAAGCAGTTCGCGTGCCTTAATGTTAACACACACTAAGGTCATAAAATTTTACATAACTCACGTCTTTTTAAAAGATACTATTGTAATTTACACTGTTCGTGCTTGATGTGAGGTTAATTTTCCGACACACGTGTAAGGTAATCTGTATTTTTACTAATTTGCTTAGAGTTCATAAGAATGTCAAAATCTAACGTTTATAGAGAAAAATCGGTAAGATACATTGTTCAGTTTTGTCATTTGAATAGAATTTTATTTGTTGGTATTACAATTTCTTTTATTGTGCCAACGGACTTATTTCCATATTAATATGCCCATATTCTGAATATGTGATGTTAGGTACATCACATATTCAGAATATGGTTAAATAGACATCGACATGTTTCAAATTATAAGGTTATAATATTTTACGCAGTTTTATTTAGCAATAGAATGCTTTCCCAATAAAATATGTATTTTATTACAGTGCACTGATGCAAAGCTTGTGTTTACCTGCTTATAATAGCTTTGTTACGGCATGATTTTTTTTTCTTGTTAACCGCAACAAACAGAGAGACAGACAAAAATGTTAAAAATTCAAAATGAAACTTCGAAATTATTTTTTTTACCTTAACCTGCCTTAATTCTGATACCAATCCCCTGACCTTAACCTTTAGGAAACATTACCGTCAACGATTGTTATCGGAGAATGGGGTTCTATTGTAATAGGATATGTATAAATAACCAACTTGCTGCTAAAGTGTGTGGTGTAATATTTACATCTAATCGTAATTCCATTCCCCTTGTGGACACGTATTGTCCGATTTTTTATTATAAAACACTGGCTGTTCCCCGTGACTTCGAATGTGTAAATTATGTAATGTGTCGTGGAATTTATTAGTATTTGATTTCATGGGTTTTAATTTTTTTGCGCGGAACCCTAATTCTTTTTCGAAAATAAAAGTACCTAGTCTAAATTACTCCTGATAACATGAGTTATCTGCCATTTCGAAGATTAGTCAAAGCAAACAGACATACAAATATTTTAAAAATTGTTTTCTTTTTTGTTATAAGTAACGAATATACTTTCATATTATGCATTTACAAAAGAGCTGTCCAATTATGACATTACAAACATTCACTTCAATTTTATTTATATCTATAGATTAGAATGACTAACAAGCTAAAAGTCTATCTGATGGTGAGTGGTTATTTCAGCCCATCAACTTCAACCAAACATCCAAATATGGCTTTAGTTTTTTTGTGAACCGTGAGGAGTGAGGACTAAGATGAAATGCCTCACGGTCTGCCTATACACGTAAGAGATATATATATACACAAGAAACATTTTTTATTAATTTATAATGGTATGATAAACGATCATACAGTCCACTTGAAGGTCAGTAGATACTGTGGTCAGTAGCCACCAATAAGTAGTTTCTTAAGGCCTTGTAAAATATGATTTAAATAAAAATGTGCAATTTGTTAATTTTTAATATCATATAGGTTATTTTATTGTTTAAAGTGTTTTATTGTTTAATGTAGGTACTCATGATTTAAATATAATTTGCGTGCTATATTATATTAAAATAGCAAAACATGTGTGCATAATACAATTAACACAGCTGTATATTTACCATGTCTTGTGCAAATAATGATTATTATTAAAATCCAGATGAGTTGTCAGCCCTAATGGCAAAGATTTTACCAATAATATCAATAAAGTAGTCTCCTAACGTAACACGGCAATTATGCTGCTATCATAGATTAATGATAAGTCATCGCGCGCTCTGACTAGATACCGCGCTCTGACTAGATACCGCGCTCCCTGCAAGTAACAGCTTCGTGAGTGCGGCATCCTAATATTGTAGTGTGTATAAGACAACTTGCATGATGCTAGTGTGCGTGAAAAGTTGCATATGCCAGCAGCTGAACAATTACCCGATTAACAGGAAAATTTATTTTATGCTATGGCTTAGTAATTAAGTTCATAGTTATGAATGTATTCCAGAAATATATTTGTGTATATTATGTATAGGTTTTTCTTCTGAATAAATGACATATAAATGATAAGGCCTCCTTTTTATCAGTTTAATTTTTTTATTTACACGTCTAACTAATATTCACAAATTATTTAAAAAAGTAGTTATATATATGGTGTAATCAAAATAGGGCTTTCTATTCTACGCGTCAATATGAACAACTTTTACTATAGATCCATCTTCCTAATCGCAAGAAAAATCAGGTCTTCCATACATTTTGAGCAAGTTTTTACGAAATTTTGTATGGAATAACAGACTTTGAGATATTTTTTATAGGATCAGGATGACAACTATACCAGTAATATAGCTGCAGTATGGGTCTATCACGTATAAATTGAAAATTTCGAAGATGATCCCATAATAAACAATATTCATGTTGACGGGCAGAATCATTCCCTAAGTTATTAAGTTCTATTTTGTTACGAGGGCGGCACTGAAAATTTCGGGAACCAAGGAAGTGACACAACATTACTATTTAAAAAGACTAAATACTAATGACTAAAACTTTTAAACCAGATTTAAGTACTCAAGCAAATACTGGATTTTTAGGAATGTTAGTGTGTATTGAAAGTCTCAAACAGATAACTAATCTTGTGATCTGGCGTTATCATGATGAAAGACCACTCCTTTTCTGATTATCAATGCCAGCCGTTCTTTTTTCTATTTCTTGCTTGTCTCATTATTTATTGGTAGTAGAGATCCGAATCGATGGTTTTATGCGGCGGTAAAAGCTCATGATAAACTTTCAATACCACCATACACACAGCATCATTTTGTTGCGTGTTAATCCAGGTTTCGCTTTAGTCTGTAAACAAAACACATATCTCATACAGAAAAAAAACACGTTTCTTGTATGGTCTTTCATACAAGAAACGTGATTTTTTGGGTCCTTTAATATTTTACTTTTCTTTTTTATTTTATGTTGTTATAGCAGCAATATAAATACACATTCTGTGAAAATTCTACATATTACGGTTCATAAGATACAGCCTACTGACAGACAGACGGAACGATAGTGGAGACTTGGGTCCCGTTGATACTCTTTTGGTACGGAACCCTAATAAATGGAAATTATGTTATTTGAGCAATACTAAACGCTACTACGAAATAAACATTAAATAATATAGAATTGGGTTATATTATAATAAGTTTAATATATTATATTATAAAATATTGTAACAATAAATTCACATATAAAAATCTCAGCCACGGGGAACTTTATTTTTGCATTCGCGGCAACACTGAATAGCGTCATTGATATTTTGTGACTTATTTATGGCTCGTGTTGTTGTATGTTAAAATTTCGAAATTGTATGATACTTAATGATAGTATGTGATTCCAGTGTCTTTCTTATTTTTTGTAGTATTATTTTTACACAGTTTCAATACGTAAACTGGTATTTTACTTCGGATTATTATCAAAATTTAATAAAACATTCGGTACGTTCACCTCAGACGTTGTCTGCAACGCAACTGGCTCGGATACGCCGATTTCGGCGTAGTATTTGTTGCCGCATTTTACATGAGCGCCGGCGGTATCTAGTCAAAGCGCGCGATGACTTATCATTAATCTATGGCTGCTATATTACACTGGTGTTCTGAGCTAGCGGGGTTTTACCCCATTTATGCTGCAGTCATAATACTGCTGCAGCGTGGCTCTACCATGTAAAGGTCCCATAACAATGGAATTGTTGTAAAGTGTTGAAGTCATTTACCTTTGAATATTGGTCATTTACCTTTGAATATGGCATGTAATGATTTCGGTGATAGTCACGTTTAAATTCTAAATATAATTGAGGAAACGGAAACGAGGAAAAAGGAAACACGTATAGCAAACAGTACTTGTTTGACGTATGTGAATGTATTAATAATCTACAATAAACCGTTTAATTTGGTACCTTGATATTAAAACTGTGTAAGCGATAATCATGTTCCATTCACTGTTCAGAAATGCTATTTTATAGGTCACAGTTTACAGAACACTGGTCAAGTCTTGACACGTGATGTTTGCACATCTTGCGT